AGTGTGTGTGTGTGTGTGTGTGTGTGTGTGTGTGTGTGTGTGTGTGTGTGTGTGTGTGTGTGTGTGTGCGTGCGTGCGTGCGCGCGCGCATGCGCTAAGTTTATATCAGTTTATAATCTATTCCAGATGACAAACAGAATATAATTGAATTGACAGAAGATGAGGACGATCTTATACCACCACCGATGTCGCTATCTCTTCCAGAATTATTTAGCGCGCAACATCAAGTGGTGGAAATAATGCGAGAAGCAGTTAGTTCCACTGAACTTCTTCATGAACGAGCTATGGAACGTTTCTATCGCGCAGTTGCTGCTGAAGAGGCATCCGAAATTAACAAACGAAAAATACAACTTGAAAAACAAACCGAATTGATACTATTAGACATCGAATCCGTTCAAAAATCATCGCTTCGAAGACGCTTATCCAATTCTGGTATCACTACGCAAAATTTAATCACTTCATGGCAAGCCAAGAAGAATCGTCGAAGATCGAGTGAAGGGCAAACCGACACAACCCAGAAAACGTTAAAACTTCTCTCGCCAGCTTTGTTATCGAACGTTGAAGCCAGATCAGATCCAAATCTCCCCTCTGAAACAACAATGGTGGATCCCTGGAGGAGGAGCAACGAGATTGAGTCTGTAGAACGTCTGCGTAGATGGCACGAAGCAAACGTACCGTTACTGGAGGAGGTGCAACGAGAGAAATCAATACAAACATATAACGAAGAGGAGGTGGCAATTCCACTATTCATCACTATAAACGGAGTAGAATCTCAATCGCTGACTCAAACGAAAACGAAAGAAACAGAAGATGAGGAAAATAATAGCGTTGAGACTTCCGAAGAATCGTCAGAAGAGATCAGTAGTGCAGACAGTGAGGATTTGAAATTATTAAAATCAAGAATCTTGGCAAGACAAATTATCGCTGAAGAAGATACTTATCATCCTAGAGGAAGGCCGATTCCTCGTATCGAAGAGATACCACAAATTCCTTATAATAGATTACCGATTTTTGAAATTTCGTCTCCTCCACTCGTCAAAACGCTTACTGTCACTTCACCCAATAATGTAATGCCTAAATCAATCTTAAAAAAACCTAAAGAAGAAATAATTCCTCAGGATAGTTTTAGCAGATCGATTCCTCCAGAGAAACCAATTAGAAAGACGTTATCGCAACGAGAAGAGACAGAAAAAACAAATATGAGTACTAATGACAGAGTTTTAAATCTTTCTATGTCCGAGGTTCTAAAGACTCCTACGTTATCGGAATCTGATACGGATAGTATTTTATCGGCAGCAGAAGCAGCAAAAAATCGGAGAATGCAATCAAAATTGCGATCCATAACACCTGAAGAAGAGGCGGCTGAAATAGAGGCCAGAATGGCTGTTGTAAATCAATACACTGAGATAGTTCGCGAACACGCAAGTTACTCACGACATAGTAGCGCAGCTAGCTCTCGAAGATCTTCCTTTTCTGAAGATCAAGATCAGAAATATCGAGTACAGGAAAAACTTGCGCCAAAACTAATAGATAAACAAGAACAGGATGAAGTATTAAAATTAAAAATTGAGAGTACAAATGAAATTAATAGACAAAAGAAAAATAATCAAATGTCAAATTCCATGAGAGAAAACTTTGCCTACAGGGATACGACTCCCACAAGAGACACGATGACATCAAAGGAGAAGCGCAGTGATAGACCAAGTTCCAGGGACCAATCTCCAACTACGAGAAGAAAGGAGAGAATAGGGGGTGCTTCTTCGAGATCATCTTCAAAGACTCGAAATCGTACACCTTCTCAGGAAAGAAATAATCGATCCTTAGTAAAAAATGATTTAAATGAGCAAAGCCTTTGTAGATCCAGAGTATCTTCTAGATCTTCATCGCGTCCCTCATCAAGATCAAATTCTAGAGAAAGATTTGGAACAGCGATGTCAGTGGAATCAAAGGTTGAAAGATTACAGAAAGTACTCGAGAGTAATAAATATCGATTAATGAAAAAAGAAATGGAAATAACCAAAGAAAACACCGGAGAAACTTCTGATCGAATAAATGGAGAACAATTAGCTCTAGAAGCCAAAAAAACAGTTAGATCAACAGTAAGCTATATAACAGATCTGACATTATTAACAGCTGCAATGTATATTTATTTCTTTAAAAAAGAAACTTTAGCAGTACCATTTATCGTTCTCCTTCTATATCGAAGAGTACAGGAAGAGATACATGGATGGATACCTCGTCGTTGGAGGCGATCCATCAAGAAACATTAATTGACCATTGTAGCTCGATAATCATATATACATATATATATATATATATATAATAATGTGTGGTGTGTGTGTGTGTGTGTGTGTGTGTGTGTGTGTGTGTGTGTGTGTGTGTGTGTGTGTACCGAATTTTTATGTAGCGTATGAATATTTTATACATATTCTGACACGCACGCAATAAAAAATAGTAGTCAAAATTATAGTCCTATTTAAATAAAATATTACAAAGAGGAAGAGGAAGAACACGTAAATCGCATAGACATTATCAATGTGTAGCTACAACATAAAATATTGATATATAAAAATGATAAATAATGATAATAAAAATATAATGATAATAATTCATTTATAAATTTATAAAAAAAATTTTGTATTTTTATAAATGTGTAAAAAAATGACAAAGAATTGTCATCCACTTAAAAGATAACAAAATTTATTTCTGCTCTAATATAAGATTCTTGTAATTATTGAGTATAACATTCATTTTTGTTTCTGATAAATGTCAATAAATTTTATCTTATAATATACAAAGAATGTATATTGTAACATTTTACGGTTCAAGCACAAAATAATCGAATGAGTGATTTACAATAGGCTCAATATTTTTTTAAGTAAATTTTTTTCACGAAATCAGTACATTTTGACGTAAATATCGACAGCGTTGTTTGCCAAAAATTTTTGTTAAGCAAACATGAAAATATTTATTTATGTTAATGGTGCAATCTGGGCATGCGTGGAAACATCTAATCAAAGTACGGAGTTCACTTTACGTTATCAAATTTTCAAAAAGAAGTGGATTTTTGAAGAAAATTATAATCTTTAAGATTTCAATAAATCGACTTTATAGTTTATTTTCTTCACCACGCTTTTCCTACATAATTATCTATATTTATGCTATTATTTTGCGTATACGAACTACCGCCATTCCTGTAACCATTTTGTAGAACACGTGAGTCTCAAAATAGCAGATAGCTTTTCAATAGAAAGTTTCCTCCCATCATCGCGTATTGATAAACAATGTTTTAATAAGAGTCTTTGGCACATAAATTAATAAATTTTTTATATATAAATATATAAAAGTTAATTTCTAATGTGTAACATAAATACAATATATGCAGATTATACGCTGAAAAATAAAGGGCCGCCAGAATGGATCGAAGAAGATCAAATCGTATCAGTTCAAGGACGTGTAGGCGAAGATATTATCGTCGAAATGAAATTGGCTTTATCTGAAAATTATGATGATTTGCGTTTTGAATTGTAAGTATAAAAAACAATAATTTACAGAATAAAATATTACTTGTATGTATACTTATTCTTTTTTTATTGCAATATTTTAATCTAAAAGCAATATTGCATTTTTGCGTTATCGTTCATTCTCATATATTGGCCTTAATTTTATGTAGAACCTTGGGACGTGCCAAGGATCAAACGCGAGTTATTTTGAGCTGTCGCGCACTTAATTTCAGAGAACTGAATTACACTTGCCGCATGTAACCTCACTCAATATTCCTGCATGGATCATCATTTCATTAGGAATGTGATCAGTAGCAATAACAATGGATTTGTTTTCTCGTATAGCTCGTATAGTATAATAAGTATTAGCTGAAAAACTGAACAACGCGCTATATTATAACAATTTATTTGATATCAATTATCAAAAATTAATAAGAAGTACATTTTTATTTGAAAGTACAGCGTACTCTAAATTGAACTATTTGGAAATCTTTTTCAAGAAAGCAACGCATATAATTTTATTTAGCTTTAGATTTTAAATAAAATCGAAAAAATTAAATATTATGATAACAATTGTCATCACAATTCCGATTTAGATGTATATATATCCTTGGTTTTAAGAAAATTAAGTCGTAGAAAGAAATAGAGAGAGATGCAAATCATACGCTATTCTTTATCCTGATATAACGAATTTGTTGAATAAAAAAATATTCGTGAAAGAAGAATGTTTTAGCAAATACGTAATTGAAATGACTTGCAATATATTTATACGATAATTAATAACATTAATAACAAAACATATACATTGTTATGTTTATCGAATTCACGCAATATAATACGAAATCAAATTCATTTATTCCTAATATTCTTTGGCTCAGAATATTTCTTCATCGTAATAACGATGTAAACACAATAGTGATGCAATAGTGATACAAATAAATTGTGAAAAGTCCGATTTTTCTCCGTATGTTTCTCCTCGAGCAACAAATACTATGTAAGTACTATGTAAGTTAATTTCAACTACGCTCGAAATTTTTGCAAAAAGACGAGAAAGATCTGACACCCCCTCTCGGTCTAGCTATTTCTCGGTTGGTTCTTACTAGCTTCTATATGAGAGATAGTTCATTGCTAGAGTTTCTCGAAACTATCTCAACGAATTCGTTGATGGAGGTGGAAAATTAGGAGGGGACAGTTTGACGTTGGCGTCTCACTATCAGTCTGACGTTGAGACAGCGTCGCAACGACTGTCGAATCCTTAAGAAAGGGTTTTAAATTATTCGAGTTGAGTGCATCGGTACGTGTCTCTTACTCTTCGACGTCATAAATGTGCTTGTAAACTGGATTGAATCTGAATTATTGTAACTCTAATTTAAAACTTGGTCAGTTGCTATTTTTTTATGAATTTTTTCAAACAATCTTAGATAATTATTAAATTATCAACCAAAAATATAAATGGACTCATTTTACAACTGCAGATTTGACTTTTGGATGAGATATCTTTTAAGAAATTTGAGAGTGATTGTGATTATAAAGCTAAAAAAGATAAAGATAATGATATATAAAATCTTATAAAAGAATGAGAAAAGTTAGATAGAGAAAAGAAGTTGTTGCTATTGCCGCAACGCAATTTGGTGATATAAGAATTAAAAATAAACTAATGCATTGATATCTTCGATAAATATGAGACATATATTGATGCTTCAATAAAACGAGTTTGCAGAGCGCCATCGCTCTGTCAGAATCCGATCGACCAATGTATATTCCGCTAATTTTGTCGCTCATGCGGTGCTCGCAGTGTTATGAACGAAGATTATACGTGGCAAATCAATATCTCGGAAACCGAAGTATATGGCAAATCGCATTGTTATATTATTATTGATATTTCACATACTTAAAACATTTTAAGTATGTGAAAAATACAAAGATAAAGTAGAGTATTGGAGAATCTCTAAAGATAGATCTCCTGTCGAGCTGAATTGTGTTTGTACGAGAATGTGAGCAATTTATGGCAATTACTTCATCGGCGGCGTATTCTGACATAAAAGAAGAAATTATTTCTCACTTTGACTCATCATGGGAAGCGATTGTTGCAAATGCACTAATGGTAAAAAAAATGTTATTACTGGATCCTCCTCCGATGAATCGGAATATCGGTAGGAAAACATCTTGTGTTTGAACATTAATTTCAAACATAATTAATTTTAATAAAACAATTATATTTTTTTAAAGCTATATTAAAAGCTATTTTAAAGCTAAAAGTAATATTAATTTAATATTCTCTCTTTCTACTGTACTATGTATATATTAACTATGTCGGTGAGATCAAATAACATTAAATTATATAATAAATATAATATTTTAAATATTACATATAAAATTAGATGTTTAATAAGTAAAACAAAAGAACAAAAGAAATAGAAAGAAAGTTATAGTTATAGAAAGTTATATCGTGGAGAGTGATGTTGCGACGCGTCAGTGTATATTCTTACATCAGATGCATCCAATTGCATTGAGTTGTGTACTTCATACATTAACATGCGATTAACATTTCTACAATGATTTCTTATTATTCTTTAATGAATGACGATTTGTTCATACAAAAAGAAATAAAATAGAAGATCGTACTTGCTAGATATAGATTTTTTTCTTAGTTCCAAACTCTCTCGTCACACGAAAAAGATGACAAAAATAGGGCAGTAGAGCAATGCCAAGACTCTAGATCATTCTGTTGACCGAAATATGCTGGGCCAATGTAATATGTTTTTACGAAGACGTAGATACGTATAGGAACGCACATATGGAAAGCACCGTAAAGTAGTAAACAGTCTTGAAAAATAAAGATTGTAATATTTTTTCCTCTATTTGAACACATTCTAATGTCACAATTGTGATAAATAACACACATTTAATATAACACACACGCGCGCGCGCATACACCCCCCCCCACCACACACACACACACACACACACCACACACACACACACACACACACACACACATACACACACACAGAGAGAGAGAGCCAATCAATGATATAGATAAAGAAAATGTTCCAGAAAAGAGTTGCCTTTCGATTAAATTCGTTCAATTCGATTTAAATCAAGTAAAATCATATATAATTAAGTAAATAAATTAACTTAATTTTAATTAATTTCAAAACTATTAAATTGAAAACAATAGATAATAAACAAAAGGTGGATAAATAAATTCGAAAATAATAGCTATAATTCTTGATTAAATACTAACCATAATCCTTGAAGAAAAGTACAAATAACTATATATTCGGCAAATTAAACTATTAAACGATGTTTCATACTATCCAACTAATAACAATAAGTTTGAAATATTTTACTTTTATTTACTTTGATTTATTAATATAATTTATTAGTATAATTTATTAATATGCATTACAAAATCTTTATATGTATTTCTGATAAATTTGTTATGTTTTCTCCCTTTTACAGAATAAATCAATATTATTTAATTTACAAAATTTGCAGAATAAAAGATGGATTGCCAATTTCAACGGATCGTTATCAGTTATCAATGCGAGGCAATATCGTTCAATTGGCTTTGAATCAATCGCGTAAAACAGACGCAGGTTATTATTCTCTCATAGCAACAAGACTTGGACAAGAGAATAATAAAGGAGCTTTAAAGAAAATTCATTTAAACATCAGTGAAACGAGTTACGAAGAGGGTGATCCTCCTGTCTTCTTAAGAAGATTGAGCGATCTTGCGGTAAAAGTTGGTACTCGAACCAGATTTCTCATAGAAATTCGAAGTTCAACTAGTTTGAAGGTACGATTTAATATATACCGGATTAACCTCAGGAAAAAATACTAAAACGGGACAATTTATTTGCATGCGTATTAGAATGTAAATTTAATTAGACAGTTTGTGTATTAACAAGTGAAGAAAATTCAATTTGACAACATATCCATATCTGTAACATGACGTAAGAGATATCCTGGCCTAATATAAATGGATAACATATAATGTCAGCTATAGCGATCAACCCGGAAGATAGAAAGGCTGATGTGGTACCAGCAGTGACTTATTGTCAGACATTTCTATCCTAGTACCAGACGAAACGGGAAAGGCGAACGAAGATGGATACCGGGAGGTCCATGACCTGAACTCACCACGAAAGACAGTGAAGAGTAAAGGAAGCTGGTTCTTGTGCGTCGTATTAATACTATTATTACGCATGTCCGCATACTATGCCAAAAGATATATGTATGCTCCAACGTATCTTCGCCCGCCTCTTCCATTACGCGCAAAATAGCCTAATATATATTATAGCATTTTTGTATTACATTTTGTATTATAGCAAATTGTTAACGCTGTCGTATTACAAAAATCTCGTTAAACAGTATTTTTTTACGATGATTAAATTAAATGTATTAATTTCAGATAACTTGGTATAAAGATGACACACCTATTTACGATGGAGCCAGATTCTCTCTTGTGCATGAAGGAAATTTTCATTGTGTTGATGTCGCTCCTGTTAGAATCGAGGATCAAGGATGTTGGACTTGTATGGCGGAAAATCATAGTGGAAGATCCTCATGTACCTCTACTCTTACTGTTATCGGTAATCGATCGCATCAATTGTATTTATTCAACATTTTTAATTTTGAATGCTTTAGAGATTAATTACAAATTTGAAATTAAATCTTTTAGTTCCCAAGGCTTACAAAAAGCCAGAATTTGTTGAAGAACTTCGTGCGCTACTCACTGAAACAGGTACCGTGTCATTGGAATGTAAAGTGATCGGTGTACCTACGCCGATACTGAGATGGTTTAAAGACAACAAAGAAATCAAAGCTGGCGATGTTTTCGCCTTAACTGCTAATCCCGATGATCCAACGTCTCTCGGTGTTTATACTTGCGAAGCGGTCAATTGCATGGGAACGGCGTATTCCTCCTCAAAAGTAAATGCGCTCGCTATTACGATTGCGCACTAACAATTGTAACGATTCTCCTACACCTACCTTTTGACATCGATTATTAAACGCAATCTACACACGCATTCTCGTTATTCCATCCTAGGTTCATGTAGTTGGAAGAGGTAGCCGAGAAGGTTCATTGAAACCGGCAGATGCTTTGACACCATCTGGACCACTACCGATATTTAAACAGATACTTCAAGACGAATGTTGCCGAATCGGAGACACCATCCTACTGTCTTGTCGCGGTAAATTAATTAATAATCAATTTTTCTATTATTTTTCTTTATTATTTTCTATCTTTATTATTTTCTTATTATTTATTGTATACTTATATATGAAACATATAAATCAATAATAATAGTTCAAGTACCACCGTGGCCAAAGGCGATCGCCTGGTATAACAAAGAAGGCCGCATAGAACCTAATGAAAAGTATCACGTAATAGAGGATGGTATCGGAGGATATTCAATCGAAATAAAACAAGTAGAAGCCATGGACGAAGGGGAATGGAAATGCGTCGCTACTAGCGAAGACAACATGAAACAATTTACGAGTTGTTATGTAGCAATGTCTAGTACGTATTATAACAATAAACAAAATTAACTTATAATAAGGTGCTATAATTGTGCTATTGTTTGTTTTACTTTTTACAAGTTCCAAGGAATTACAGAAAACCGCGTTTCATGGAAAATCTAAAAGCAGTCTTGACGGAAGAAGGTCTTGTCTCGTTCGAATGCAAAGTTGTAGGTTTTCCAACGCCATTGCTCAGATGGTTTAAAGATGGTCAAGAGCTTAAGCCAGGAGACGTGTATCAATTAACTGGGACTAATTCATTAGGTGTGACCATTAAATTTATTATATATTTTTCTCTTTTCTTTGTCCTTTACATAGACTTTAGATTTATTAGAAAATACATAGGTTCTTATTGCTGTATCGCAAGAAACTGCATGGGGGAGGCTAAAAGTACAGCTGAATTAACCATCGAAGACATTCAGAATCAATTAAATGAAGAAGAACGTTTCCAACTTTTGAGCACTAATCAACCACCAAAATTTATAAAAGGTCTCAGAAGTTGCGAGGCGAAAATAAATGAAGATTTTCGCTTTACAGTGCAAGGTATTCATGCCCTTTTATTCTTTTAAATGTACAAGATGTTAAATAATTGCTATTCTCACACAACTTTACATTACGTGACTAAAGAGATTTTTTTCTCTAGTAAGTGTCGCACCAGAACCAACTCTTTCTTGGTATAGAGATGATGCGTTAATGGATGATGAATCTGACAAGTATCACATAGCGAAAGAGAATCTTGGCACATGTCATTTTGAAGTGCGAAAACTCGAATTTGTTGATCAAGTAAGTATTCATTTCATAAACTATATAATTATATATTTGCTATGTTAAAAGATGTTTATTAGTGTTTTTTCCTTTTATCTTTTTTTTTTAGGCTGAGTGGAAGTGCGTAGCGGCAAACGATTTTGGCCATAGCGTTACTTCTTGCTTTTTAAAGTTAATCATTCCTAAGCACTATAAGAAACCAAAATTTCTTGAAAGTCTACGTGCAATTCTATCAGAGGAAGGTGCCGTAAATTTAGAATGCAAAGTTATTGGCGTTCCACAACCAGTTTTAAAATGGTACAAAGACAATGTCGAACTCAAACCTGGTGATATACATCGAATCATTTCCGGACAAGATGGCACTTGTTGTTTAGGAATATATACTTGCGAGGCTACCAATTGCATGGGAACAGTCAGTAGTTCCGCGTCGTTATTAGGATTTGAAAGTAATTCTTTTTCTCTATTGTATATAGCAATTTATAACTATATGATTACAAAAATCACGATTTTATTAAATGATAATTATTTGTTTTTATAAAAAAAAATACATGAAAATTTTTTCTTAGCGGTTTTATACTTTTTATATATTGCACTACTAGTATTCCAATCAAAATTTAGAACTTGACATGTATAATTTTACAGATAGAAAAGATGCAAAAGAAATTCAGCCGCTAAATGGTCACGAACTGGCAAGAAATCTATCGTTGTCAACGATACATGAGGAGCGAACGTCTCAATTGTATGATACACCGCAAACAGATCATTCTGTAACTTTGGATGAACGAGGCGAAGTATCCTTCAGTTTTGATGGCAAGGAAGTATCAGTTAGTCTTTACGAAACACCTGATCTTACTGAAGAAGAGGCGCTACAGATTGTTGAAATGTACGCCGATCAGTTGTCTGAACATGTAACAGGTAAAAGGATTTATTTAATTTTTGTTTCTTTAACAAAATGTAATAACTAAGAATAATTAAGAATAATTAAATATTAAAAAGCTCTGCTTTTATATAGAACACAATGTGATCGAGTTACCACCAATGAGATTTGTTAAAGAAACGTCCACGACTGGTAATTTATTAATGGAAGCTGTGGTGATTGACGTATCACCCGATTATTTTGTTAGCGCGGAAGATGGCGATGATCTACGAACAGAAGCTGACTTCGAAGATGTCTCCATTATGGATGATGTTACGCATGTCCTTTCGTCACCTGAACGTGATTCTCGAAGTTCTTTAAAGAGATCAGCACGATATAATGTGGATGAGGATGAGAAAGTTCCTAATAGGCCACCTCGAAAAAAATCAATGAATGCATCATTATCGAAGAGCGAAAGAAGTCAACAGATAGAATCTGAAAGTTTCCACAGTGTACAAAAAGACGATCCACCGTTGTCTCCGCTTTCATCTCTGAAGCAGGATGACAGCGACACTTTCGCGGATGCTTTATCCTCTGCACATCTCTCCATCACAGAGAGTTTAGTCCAGAAAAATATAACCTCGGAACATGCAGATAATAGAAAACGCAGTTTAAGCGCAGGAAGATCAACTGGCTCCAGTCTAGACGATGGGATTGGTGGTGATTCCTCTTTCGATTCAATGACTGGTGTTCCTAAAAAGATGCAGCGTAAAAAGAAACAACGGAAGGACAAAAGTAATTCCGAGAAATATTCCGATTCTAGTGACGAGCAAAGGAAAAGAAGTGAATCGGAAGATAATGTTAATACAAAGATAAAATCTCAACCTGTAGAATCAGTTTACGAGACAGAAATGGATAACAAAAATGAAGCCGAAGTAGTAAAAGAATTGTTGTTTACTAAAGAAAAATTAGATTTTCAAGATAATTTGAAAAGTGTAAATGAAATTAACAGCCATGTCTCGAAAGAAACTAAAAAGTCGACGGAAGATATTCTTTCAGAACCGAGAATAGCTCTACACAAAGCTTTGGAGCTTTTTCACGAAAAACTTATACTGAACGCACACACAGCGCCATTGTTTTCTGATATTTATGAACAAATTGATAATATATATCAAATATTAGAGACTTCAAAAGGAATAGGTGCGGACATTGAAATCTTGACTAATTTGGAAATACCTCTTCATACACTATTAAAGAAAATCAATGAAATAATATCAATAGAATATGTAGAAATTATTCATGATATTCTCCAACCATCCATCGTTCAATTATCACATGCTATTGAAAAGCTCGAATCATCATCTTTGCAGCCTACGTTCGTAATTTTAAAAAATTTCAGCAAACTCATGTGTAATATATCTAGTGGATCAGAAAAATTATCTTCGACAAAATCTATCTCCGACGAGTCTCAAAATATATCCGAAGAAATTGTAGATTCGTTACTTGATATTCAATCGACATTTAGTGAGATTTTACAACAAATGGAACAATCGAAACTTTCGGTAAATAAATCTGGAAAGTCACAACAAATATCAATAACATCGGAACTTATGGCATGTTTAATAGAGTTAAGAGAGTGCGTATCTCATACAGCACACACTGCAATGGCATTGAAAGAGAATGAAACACTAAGCAGTTTAATGGAATTTAGGAAACCTTTATTGGATCTTCAATTAATTTTATCAGCAAACCGAGGTACTTTTTACGAACTTTCAACAATAAAAGAAATAAATATTGCCGTTGCAAAATTAAAGAGTGTCATAGTAACTATACTGAACGATTCCACAAATCGCGACGTAATTTTCCAAATTAAAACAATTTTCAAAATATTGGAAGATACTGATAAACAAATATTAAAGTTGGTAGAACAATCATCAGAAATGAAAATTGTTCAAAAACGTATGTTGAAAAATTTAGATATTGAACAAAGTCTAAGTAAGGTGCACTTTGCTTTATCATCGGTTTTAGAAAAACAGCACATAGCCTCAAGTCATTTGATAACAAGTATTGAAGTGTTACGTCAGACAATTGGTTCTTCGGCTGTTACGATCGCCAATTTAAACAATCCGGTTGATAATGAGATAACTCAAGAAATTAGCACACTAAATGAATCATTATTAAATTTACAGAGGAATTTATTAACGGAAAAGCATGAATTAGAAGAAGAGCAAATTCTTGATAATTTGATGCATCCTATCGGTATGCTAAAAGCAATAATTCACAATATAATTGAAAACAGTTCTTCAGTCCAATTGATACTACCAATGTTGGAATTATTGGAAGATATAGAAAAAGATATAGCTCTTGTAACGAAAGAAATATCAAAGAGAAAATATCAGGAAGAAAGTATTACACAATCTCAGAAAGAAAATACGGTAGAAGAAAGCAATTCAAAATCTATTTTAGCTACTTTAATCCGTCATTCTTTAGATCCTATTAAAAACTGGTTATCTGTTACATCTGATGATAGTACAAAGGACGAAATGAAATCTACTCTGAGTTCAACAATCGAAGAATTGAAAAAAGATATAACTCAGATTGCCATTCAAACATCATATTCTGAAGTACCAAATGATGAAAGTTTGATAAAAGCATTGATTGATCTCCGAGAACCGCTAATGAGACTCAATACCGCTATGTCTGTGGTAGATTATGGACCAGAAGATATTTCAGTATTGGAAAACTTGAATTGTCCTATGAAATATCTTTTGCAAACTATCATGAGTGTTCTTCATGAACGTGCGCAAGAAAAATCTCTACGACCGATTATAAATATCATCAAACAAATTGAAAATCAAATACCACTTTCAATCAAAGATGCTCTTTATCAACAAGAACTTAAACAAAATGCTAAAGCATTAAATATAGAAATGGGACAAAAAGAAGAAGAAACTGTTTCCAAAATTTCCAAAGAAACAATTCCTGGTACTCTTACGGAAGTTGCTACAATACCATTTGAAATTGGATCTACGACATCTTTTACCGAGCAAGCTACAACAGAAAACAATTTCGATAGAATAACTGATGACGTACAAACTATAAAAAATGAAAAACAGGAAAGAGAAAAAGATGCAGGCAAATTAATCATAATTTTGTTAGAAACTTTGGAAAAACTTCAATTAGAGATAACTAGTATTCTAGAGGATTTCGAAGAATCAATAACACAAACTACCACGATTCCCCAATCGAAATTGGCTAATTTCCTCGAAGATTTAAGAAGCATTATTTCCACAATATACATGACTATCATTCACAGTGAAGAAACTTCTTCACTTGAAGAAAAATTTAATCAGACAACTTTGGTGCTAATTAATCTAATGCAACCGCTGACAAATATACGAAATCTTCTTTCCAGATCGCACGAGCATGATGTTTCAGAACTCATAATATTGAATCGATTTAGCCCGCTGTTGGATATAATAGAAATCAACGTAATAAGACAAATAATCAATTTTGTCAATAAAGATGAGAATGTAGAAAAAAACTCGAGTGTCTTTTATGCGTGCTGAAAGAAATCAAAACAGAAATTCCAATCGTAATTCAAGAAATATCATTGAGACGAAAAATTTTGGAACATCTCTGGGATATTTCAAAACCGTTGGATAGTATTTTGGAACGCATGAGCGATTTGGAGAAAGCTGCGGAAGAAACTCTTGAAACTGATGTCGCAAATATTTTAGGAAAACCAATTAATTCTCTTTTGAAAGACATAAAAATAGCTATCCAAGAAGTAGATGCATTAGATCGACGAGAACCATTGATTCTCGAATTACGAAACTTTATCGAACCTCTGCTAGAATTTCATAGTTGTCTTTCAATGGTACAAAATAGTCGAAAAAGTTTAGTTCCTGAAGCCTCTTTATTAGAAGAGAGAAGAAGCGTTATTTTGCGAGCAGTCGATGGTTTGCAAAAACAAGTTTGTCATACTGTCGAAATAATTGCAAATATGGAAGATGCCTTTTTATTTAATGAATCTTTGACATTACTCAATTCTGCGATTCTACAAGTACAAAAACAAGTTGATAAGACTGATTATTCGCGTCGATCTAGTAGCACTCAAATTTCTCTTCAACATCGACTTACTGGTACGTTGAGTCGTTTAGCAAAGGCTATAATAGCGTTGCAAGAACACACTGATAAGGATACATATGGAATAGTGTCCAAATGTTTGGAAGCGTTACAAAAGCAAATCTCATTTTCGCAAACGCAGTTTAATCAAATCAATAATGAATTAATTGACGAAGAAGCAATCATAGAAGGCTTTCTTTATCCGGCCAATCAACTTTTGTCAGCATTAAACATTTTGAAAGAGAATATACAGAAGCAACACTTGGTAATTTCACACTCAATAGTTTATTTTCAAGAATTAGCTGACTCTATTACAGAATTGAGTTTTTCCCTCTCAGCTTACAAAACGGAACTTGTCCGAGAAGGTACTTCTGAAGGAGCACCGATCGTAGAAACCTTTTCTGCCGTTATCGATGTTTTAGGCCATATAAAAGATTCTGTTACTGTCATAGAAAAGGCAGTCGACAATGAACAGAAAGCGAGTATGATTATCACAAAAGTAGAAAGTGTCACTGATGAGATTATAGAAGTGTCGCAAGAAGAAATTGAAAATATAATGATGATCACGGAAATACCATCATCTAAAGCAATAGTTCAAGAAGCTCAATCGGAAATTGGAGGCACACCTATAACAACACAAATATCAATCTTAGAAAACCTAGAAACAGTTCAACAGACTTCTGTTAAACAAATGAAGAATAATAATCTGACGGATTCGAGGGAATACGAGGAAAATCAAAAAGAAAACGAAAGAAAGGAACATCTAATAGCGGAGATATCAAAGTTTAATTGTGCAATAAATAACTTGATACAGCCGTTAAGAGAACTAATTAATCTCGTGAAATCTACTAAGCAAAAATCACTAGTTTCCAAATCTGAAGAAAATAAGCGAAAAATACAAGAATTAACAGCATTAATACAAGTTCTTAATGATCTACAAGCTACAAATGCCTCTATTACGACGGTAATATCTTCCTCATCTGTTATATTATTAGATAGTCAATTTTCTTGTATGAAAGCTATTCTTTCTGATTTGGAACAAGCTGTCGGCACGGTTATTTCATTAACTCATGAAGGTGTGAGGCCAGAATTAAAGGAGAATATCATGACATCTTTACAATTTATCGGTAAACCTTTAGATTCTCTTGAAAATATATTGGCATCTATATATCAGACAATCGATAAAGATAGGTATATTGATAAAGACAGAGAATTATCTGAAGTTGCACAAACTTTAATATCATGTATTAATGATACCGTTAAATCTCTCAATGAAATGCAAATATCAAAATGTCTTAGTATCGCTGACGACAAAGAAAATGAAATGGAAATTTCAGAAGTCAAAGAAGAAATGAAAAATATCGAAGAAATAACTGCGCGGCCACTCGAAGAGCTTATAGAAGCCATTATGGATTCTCAAGAGATAAAATGTGATAAGACATCAGAATCTGATTTGTCTTTCATGAATACAATCGAATCGAAAGACATTGATAATTTAAAATCTGTAGAATCACAATTAAATGAGACACTTGTCAAGAAGATGGATGATTCAGCGAAACGAGATAAAGTAGATACACCGCAGGTAACATCCTTACCAGAATCTGATCAAGCCGAAAAATTATTTATTAAAAATACAGGAATGATAAAAACAATAACACAATCTTTAGAAAAAGTCGAGGAACAGAATTTAGCAACGATTGATAAACAGGAGATAGAACCAACTCAGATATCTGAAAACAATATAATTCTAGAAAAACAAATAAAAGTTGAAACTTTGCGAACGATTATCTCTCCTCTTCAAGTATTGCGTAAATCATTCGATCAAATCGGAGAAATAGGAGTTTTTGAATCCTCTGATAAGAAAGCAATCGCATTTTCGGCTCTAATAGAACCATTGTTAAATTTAGAGTTTGTATTACCTGAAGTAACCGAAGATATAAAACAAGATACAGTGACATTACAAGGGTTATCTGTGGTAAGCATTTTGGACGAAGTACAAAGATCAGTTGCTACAATTCAAGAAGAAATGCAACTGCAGCTTAATGCTATGGCTGAAACCAGTTTGAATAAAACACCTAAGATACTCTTAGCACAAGCCATCATGAAACCTTTGGGTGATTTAAGAATTTCAATTGCACGCATCCAATCTGACCCGATGATTAATCAATTTGTTCAACAAGGATCAGAATTATCAAATGTTGAACAAATCACAATCCTGCAAAATCTTGTTAAATCAGTGACGCAATTTGGAGAAAGATTTACATCTATTGTTAATCAAATAGAAATAGAAGCTACGTTGCCATTGCAAACCATTAAACAAACAGATCAACAACTAGATTTAGAAGTTTTACATAAAATTGTTAATCCGATTCACGTTTTACGAGAAACACTCTCCCAAATTGAAAACCTAAACAATTATGAAGCTGAGGTATTAGAAATACCCAAACAGAAAATCACAACAGCGATCGTTCAATTGACGGCAGTAATGGATTCTTTGGAAAAATTGGAACAATCACTAATTATAAGTACACAGCAAATTATAGACATGCGAGAGAAAATTACAAAAGAACTTAACGAAGACCAAAATTTGTTCACAAGTATGAATTTAAAACCTATATTAGAAGAATTAAGAAACTCGATAACGATAGTTCAGGAGCAAATAATTTTTGATGAAGATATTCCTGCATTAAAAACATTGACTGAAGCTCTAGAAAATTTGAAAATGCCGTTAATAACAGTTGAAGAAGTCATTGATCACAGTGATAAAGTTACTGAAATTGAAAAAATAGCAACTTTACTATCGTTTGCAAAGTCAGTGGAAAACACAGCAAATCAATTAATGGCTATAGCCAAGCGAGATATGGCAAAACAAGAAGTTAAGGAAATATCGCTAATAAAAACAATGACAATTCCCATTGAAGAATTGCAAAGTGCGATATTAAAACTCGAAGATCAAGTATCTCAAACATTGGAAACAAAGGGATCAATAAAAACTGTTAGTTTTGAATGTATGGTGCAACCATTGCAAGAATTACAGCAATTGTTCTTAACCTCTTCTTATCAAGAAACTGCTCTATTCTTACAGGAATTACCACTCAAGCCAATATTGGATAATTTGAATAAATCCGTGGCAGTGATTCAAGATCAGATCACGTTAATTCAAAATGTGCTTATAGACGGAAATACAGATGATTCAATAATATTAAAAGATTTTGCGAAATCACTTGGCAATTTAAGAACATCGACGGTAGTTTTACAACAATTGAATGCAATAGAAAACGCTGGTCAACAAATTGTAGAAATCGAGAATGCATCTGCGCTGCAAGCATTTGCAAAATCTATTGAGGAATTCAAAAAATCTTGCTCCGTTATTGTTGAACGACCAAGAATTATCGAAGCTTTGACGAAAAATATAGAATTGAAACAATTAAATAAAATAGATGCGCAACTGATTGAAAATATTGTTGCACCTCTGCGAATATTACAAGAGCAGATTTTAACTATCGAGGAGTCTAAAATGCAAGAATCTGAGATTTTGGATCTAACGGAAGTAAGGAAACCAATTACTGTGTTAAGTAGTCTTGTTAGTCCCTTGCAACAACTTGAAAAATCTTTGGTCGCAACGGTGCAAAAGCAACACGTTATCGAACACGATGGACACAACCTAACAATTGAATCTTCTTCCGTAAGTTTAGAAAAGCTTGCTCTACAGCCTGTTCTCGAGGAAGTACAAAAATCTATTGCTACTGTACAAGAGCACATGATATTAGAGGCAGGAAAGCAAATTCCGTCGGAAATAGAAAGTGATACTCTACTGAAATCAATTGCGCAGCCATTAGTGGATTTAAAAGCTTCCATCGCATCTATACAGCAAGTAACCGCAATTGCCCCTGATTTTTTAACCGAACTCGCACAAGAGCAAAATGTTTCAACGTTGGAAACATTTGCCAAAATTCTTCATAATCTGACGGAATGTATGGCAATGTGTAATCAACAGCAGGTAATTATGGAACCTGCGGCGGATACTATTTCCGAAGATGCTTTGTCTTTAAATACGTGGGCGGATGTAATCGATGAAGCTGCTTCTAAAATTACACATCCAATGGTGATTGATCAAGGCGTGATTGAATCTCCAACCGAAATCGCAATGTCGATGTCAGAGGAAGAAATGTCCTCGTTGAGAACATTAGCAAAACCTTTAACCGAATTACGAGAATGCTTAGCTTTGATCGTTGAGGAGCAAAAAACAGTCCCACTGTGCGATACAACGTGCGTTTTGTCGGAAAAAGAAAATATTTCTTTGACGAAAACAATGATACAACCTTTATTAGAATTAAAACAAGCAGCTGCAATAATAATTCAGGAGCAAATGGCTATCGAATGTACTAATGAACATTCATTTGTCGTCGATGGTAAAAATGAATTTACTCTTCGTTGTTTAGTGGAACCACTTGAAGAATTACGCCATTCTATCGCAATAATACAGGATCAGATGTTGATTGAAACACTAACGGACCAATCAAAGAATGACATCATATTAAATGCATTGGCTGAACCTCTATTCGATATCCAGCGTGCTATATCCATTTTAGAAACGCGAGTGATGTCGCCAGATGTTGAATCGATGTCCGAGGATGTAGGCAACAATTGGATCACGGAATGTTTAGCGACTCCTTTACATGAAATTGAAAGATCGATTGCTGAGATTCGACAATGCGACGTGATGGAACCTAAAACGACAATCGTAGAAGAAAAGTCGAAAACGTTAATGCCAGATCGATCCATTATTGAAAAATTAATAAAACCAGTGGAAAGTATCAAATCAACGATATCACGTATGGAAAATGATTCTACTGAAATTGAAGTTCTTAAAACAATAGAAAAGCCACTTGCCAATGTAAGGGAGAATTTGATGTTACTGACAGACAAATATAATTTAAGTGCTGTTGAAAAGAAAGACGTCCACGCTTTTATCGAGTCTCTTTTCAATCTTGAAGAACGCATTTCATTTATCAAAAAGGAAATTATTGATAAGCCAATGCCCAAACAATCAAGCACGATGAAAATTGATACTACAATATCCGTTGTTAATATACCATTAACTGAATTAAAATATTCTATCGCAGCTATAAAAGACTCTCCAAGTTTACATCTGCAAAATTTGGAGAAACCATTGGAACTTGTACAGAATGTGTTTGAAACGATCGTATCAATACAACAAAATAAAAAGCTTTCAGAATTATCAACAAAAATAATAAACAGTATTTCAGATATTAGCAACTCAATTGAATCTATCGAAAACACGTTAGAGCGACAACAAATATCGGTCGTTGAAATCCATATCGAAAATGCAGCACTTGGAATATTGGCAAAATCTTTACGGAATGTTAAACAGTGTATTATACAAATACAAGAGAAACCAAATACTGTCAATTTAATGACTCATGCTCTTGAAAGCCTCGAAAAATCTATATCTCTAGTACAAGAACAATCAGCCGATAAACCACTGGTAGAATCGCAGCATACAAATTTTGATATTCTTTCGAAAAGTTTAATATTATGCCTACATGAGTTGCAAGAATCAATACAAACAACAAAAACACTATGGCGTGAAGAAACAGTATTAGATGGATTAATAATTTTTGAGAAACCAATTTCTAAATTACAAACTGCAATAAAAATTATATATGACCAGTCTTTGGAAGAGACAATTTCGAAAATAGATAAATTCAAAAGAGTATCACAAAAGAAATTTGTAAAAAAAGAAATATATACATCTGAAATTGAAACTAATGAAAAATTTATTAAAAACGACAATGAGACTAATAAAATAAAAGAAGAAACAGGAGAAAATAAATTGATAAAAGATATAAATTCTACGATAATTAATGATACGAAAGAAAAGAAAAACGAAAAGAAATTAGAGAAGGAGGAAGAAGAAATAGAACAAGAGAAAGTAAAAGATGATAAAAAATCAACAGAATTAATACATGAAGAAGAAGAAGAAGTTAACAAAATAAAAAATAAAGATGAAAAACAAAAGAGGGAACATGTAATCGAAAAGATACAAAAAGTAAATGAAAAGCAGGAAAATGAAGAAATTGAACAAATAAAGAAAGCAGCAGAACAAAGTAAACAAGCAAAAGATAAAATAATAGAGCAAAGTGAAAAAGAAAGTAAAAAAGTAAAAAAAATTGATAACTTTGAAAAACATAAAGAAACTGGCGAAATGCAAGAAATGAAAAATCAGCAAGAAAAAATGGATACAGTTGAAAGTATAAAAAATATAGTCGAGGAATCTCAACAATTTATTGATGTCAAAGAAGTAAAGGAAGAACAAAATGAACAATGGAACAAAAAAGATTATGTAGAAACAGAAAAAACAGAATGTGAAGAAAAACAAAAAGAAGAGAACGTAGAAAAGAAAAAAATAGCTGAATGTAAAAGAATTGAAATGGATCAAAGCATTGAGAGCAAAGAGAAAGTGGAAAGTAAAGAAATAAAAGATTCTAAAAATATAGAACAGTCACATGAGCAATATAAGCAGGAAGAAAAACAAGAAAAAGAAATAAATAGAACGCAACAGGAACATCAAAGAGAACGTGAGGTTGAAATGATACAGAAAGAAATAGATGAGTTTGATAACGAAGTCGGAATCACAAAAATAAAAAGAAATGAAGAACATAAGAATCTCAAAAAAGATAAAAAATTAGAAAAAGAACAAGAAAATTTTGAAGATGAAAAATGTGCTGTACCATTAAATCAAAATAAAAACGTTAGTAAAAACGAAAAGAGCGCTAACCAACTAAAGCACGAAGAAGAGCAAAAGAAAGGAAATAAAGAAGAAAAGCAAGAGCAAAAGAAACAAGAAACAAAAGAAAAACTAAAGAAGAAAGAAAATAAAAAGTAAAAAGCGAGAAGACTGAAGAAGTGAAGAATGAAAAAGAGAAATCTAGTTTAAAAGAAGACACAGTACAAGAAGAAATAAAAGAGCATAAACAAGAAAAAATAATGGAAGAAGTAGAAAAAGTAATGAAACAAGAGAAAGAACAAAAGAAAAAAGAAACAATAGAAAAGATAAAAGAGAAGGAAAACAAAAAAACAAATGGCCAGAAAATTGAGGAATTAAGAAAAGAGAAAGAAGACTCTAATGAAAATAAAAAGCAGATACAAAAGAAGATAGAAGTACAACAAAAGGAAGTGGAAGACGCAAAAAAACAAGAAAGAGAGTTAAATAACAAGGAAACAATAGAAAAGGTAAAGGAAGAAAGAGATAAAACGAAAAGAAATGAAGAAATTATAAAACTGAAGAAAGAAATAAAGGATACTAATAAAAAAGAAGAGAAAATGAAAGAAGAAAAACAAAAGAAAAAGGATGAAGATAAAATATTGATGAATAAGGAAAACAAAGAATCAACTAAGGCTGAAGAAATAAAAATAATAAAAGAGGAACAAACAGAAATAAAGAGAAATATACAAGAGAAGGAGGAAAAGATTACACAAGAAAGGGATAAAGTGGCAGAAAAAGTAAAAGAAAAAGAAATGAGTAAAAGAAAAGAGGAAATTGATAAAACGGGAGAAATAATACAGCAAGCACAATGTGAATATGTAAATGGCATAAAGAAAAGAAAGTACCTGCAAATGGATGAGAATAAAAAAAAACAAAATTATAAGATAATAATGCTTCAAAGTCAGCAAGAAGAGAGTAAATCGAAACTTGAAGAAAAATTGGAAACTTTGGAAAGAGAGGAAGAAGAAGAGCAGCATAAATTGCAACACGATCAAAGTTGGTCGTACACAAAAAAATGGGTTGATAAAAATAGTGAACGTTGGATACAGAAAGATGAAGATGATCAGGAAAGAGATAATAAAAAACAGCATAGAATGGAAATGGAGCGCTTGGAAAAGAAAAGAATTATGAGGCGGACTAAACAAGAAGCTGATTATATATCTATATTGGACGAAGAAAATCGGCAGAAAAGAAATGAGGAAAGGAAAATTAGGAGAGATGAGACTACTAGATTATTATGGGAAAAAGAACAAAGATTACGAAAAAGACAAGAGGAGGAAATATTTAGAAATAGACAAAGAAGAAAAGAGCAAATAAAAGAAAATGAATGGTCGAGAAAACGCGAAAATGAATCTGATCGGTTCCTTAGAAATATGTTAGAAACTACGTATAAATCAACTCCAATGTTTTTTAATATCGATTATTCTCGAGAATATTCTTCTCGATTCGATTCTAGTGTTTCAATACTTTCTAGCATTTCTAGATCATACAGTTGGAGAGATTCATTAACGTCACTCAGCGGAAAAAAGGTGGACGACTACTGGAATTATAAATTACGTAGTCCTGTGGATAAATATTACTTTGATACAAGTTTATCATACAGACGACGCAGAAAAAGAGAAAATCGCATGATTCGCGCGAGATCCACCAGTTTATTAAAATATGAAGACTATTCGACTGGGGATAGTGATGCCACTATTGTACCTAGTACAAATATTCGATCTTTTCGACGCACAAAAGCGAAGACTGCCTCACGAATCGATTTTGATGCTTGTGAATCTAATCTATTTAGATACACTGACCTCAGTCAAAATAAGGTAGCTATTCTATATTAAATTATTGCTTAACATTTTATAAGTAAAGAAAATAAGTTTTCCATAATTTTAATATAATAAAAGTATTTATTATTACAGAGTTTTCCATGGGAAAAGCTAAAAAAACCATCATTTTGCACAAGACTGACAAACCGAATTGTAGGAGTTGGTATGAGAATAAGACTGACTTGTACTGTTCTTGGTAATCCAGAACCACGCGTTTATTGGACTAAAGATAATCAAAAGCTAGCTGCCTCGAACAAACGTTGCAGGATGCGATACGAAAACGGTATGGCTTATTTGGAACTAGACGAAGCGCTTCTCGAGGATGCTGGAATATATACATGCGTAGCTGAGAATACACAGGGCACTTCTATAACCGAATCTATCTTAAGCGTTTACTCCGATTATAAACCTATGCATTCATCTCCAATTTTCGTAAAATCAATTAAAGGTATACATGTATTTTTATTTTCATTAATATACATATAATATACATTATTTTAACGATAAATTGTTATTTTTTTTTTTTTAGATACTTATCGATATTCTGATCGCAAACTCATTCTGGAATGTCGTGTACGATCTTATCCGGTTCCTATAATTTCCTGGCTAAAAGACGGAGTGATTATTCAAGGCGAACGTTACAAACAAAGTTATCTCGACGATGATGTTTATCGACTGGAAATAGCGGATCCTGATCTCACAGATAATGGACAATATACATGTCGTGCGGCAAACGAACTATATACCGAAGAAATATCTCATATTGTTCACGTTGAAGGTAACTAGGACATTACATGTTATGGATCAATATAAATACTTTCAAATATTATATAATAATATAATTATAGATTGGCAATCCGTGAATCGAAACGATCTACGTTCAGACCACGAAACTAAATCAGAAGTCGAACGAAAACCACGGTTTTCCAACTTATTAAAAGATTATAACGTGCCCGCTGGTGGAACGATTGCTCTTCAAGTAGAAGTCAAAGGTAAATAAATTATTTATCCAAGACGAATAAATAACGCATATCAAATTATGGAATCCTCTTTATTATAGGTGTACCAGCTCCGGAAGTAAAATGGCTACGTGGCGATCGAAAAGAGCCAATTACTATACCACAAGCTAGAACCTTTGCAGAGCGTGGACTTTACACTTTAATTGTACCAGAAGCGACAGAGTCAGAAAGGGGTATATATGTGTGTAGAGCGATTAATGCTTATGGACAAGTGGATACAAGTGCGACAGTTGATGTAATATCATCGAGTACTGTTGACGGGGGAAAACCGGCGGTCTTCGTCTCAAGACCCTTTAAGAAATCGATCGATGTAATCGTTGGCGAAGATATCAGCATATCCTTCCGAGTCAGTGGTATCCCCAAGCCTCGAAGTAAGATTTGACAATAAAACTCTTAATTTATTATATTCCCGAACAAATATTAAATTATTTTTCGCTTTATTTCTTTTCTCTTTTATTTTTCATCTATTTTTTTCCTACTATTTTAGTAATATGGATGAAGGGATTAACGGACATCACAGATGGGCCAAGATCATATAAAGAGAGTATTGATGATTATGTCAGATTAACATTAAAAAGAGTCATACCTTCTGACGAGGGTACCTATTGCATTTTAGTTAAAAATAGGTACGGTTGCGATAGAAGTTTCTTCTCAATTAAGGTGAGAATTTTTTTAAGAATTTAATTAAGATGAAGAAAATATATAATTTTAATAATGTGTGTTTCAAATAGATAAAGCAACGTGCTAGGTCATTGACTCCATTGTCAGATTGGAATTCTGTTACCGAGCGTGACGCAGAAGAATACAACAACGACATGTCCTATGTGCGAAGTAAGTGATTTTGCAATTATTTTGTAATATTTATTGAGAGAAATCTCGCGAGAAAAATTAAAGATTTTATAATAATATATGCAAGGATTAAAATAAAATTACTTAATGCAACTAGTTGTAATAAATTCCGACAAAATGTCACGACATTATTGTATAACATATTAAAATTAGAATGACAAACAATCTACACCAACTGCAACATCATACACTTGGCTTAAATTTTAATGGCTAAATGCCAATTGACGCCTGGACTAAGCGGTCGCATGAACTAACATCGATATTTAGTTTGACTGCTTATTGAATTGATATGATAATTGATCTAAAGATCTCCTTAAATATATATAAATGTAATCTTGGTAATGCCCGAGCCGATATCTTGAAATATAAGCTCTTAAATAAATCCAGAATTAACATAATCGCGAAATGTTGTAAGAAAACACTAATAACATAAAATAAATGTCACAAGAGCACATCCAAGTTTCCTTCATTCGAGGAACATTTCAAGACGGGTTATTTTAGTTTACCTTCTTTATTCATCTCCCACCAACATCGCACGAACTTTGCAAATTCAAAATTCAGTCGTCGTCTAAACGCGAATCACTTCATATATCCTACTTTTTCAAATCTTGAGTTTTGACACAATATTTTGTGCTAATAAGAAATATCTTGCAAAGTGATAAATTGTTTATTTGTTTGTTCAATATCTTTTATAAATGCATTACATTTTGCTAAAAATTCATCATCATTTTTATAATATCCTATTGCATAATATGTTAAATATATATTTCTTCCTTTCTTTATAATATAAAAGCATGTTGGATTTGTAAGCATTTTAACAAATATACATCGCCAAAATAAATAAAATAGTTTTTATCATGAAGCGACATGATCATGAAAATATTATTAATATCGAAAATGAAGATATCATTATCTCGCGTTTGAGACATTCTTGGACTAATAAGAACTCTTCAATTCTTGATTTCTTGGAATATTTATATGGACATCGAGGTTAGCCAATAGATAATTGTTCTACAATACATTTATTCTATATACATTTCTTCAAAATCAATTTTTATGGAAAAGACGCAATTAAATATGTGTAACTAATTTTATAATTTTATGATTCATCAGATGTTCCCGGTCCGATTAGTAGTGAACCTGTTGCTATTGACGGTGGGAAAAGCTGGTTATCATTGAGTTGGGGTAAAGCAGAAAGAAGAGGACCCGCACCGGTGATCGCTTATAAAGTCGAAGCTTGGCTCTTAGGTGGTGATGGAGGTGCTCGATGGGTAGAGGTGAGACAGAAGAAAATGATATTTCTAATTTAATAACACGTATTAAATGAGTATAAATAACATTTACTCTTTTCTAAATCAATATTTCCCGATCTCTCCGAGCAGCTCGGGATTACGCCAATCAATGCGTTCGATGCATTCAATTTGCGACCAGGTGGAGAATATAAATTTCGCGTAACACCACGAAATCGTTATGGATGGGGCGAACCAGTTACGATGACGAATTCAGTGATGGTGAGCGAAAGTACCGATCTTCCGGAATTTACCAAAATTCTACCGGGACAATTAAAGGCTCTCGAAGGAATGCCAGTAAAATTGGAATGTGAGGCAAGTTTATAATATGAACATGTTTTAATATATTTTCTAATTAATTTCTTTATTTAAATATTTATTTAAATAATTTCTTTTAGATTCGCAGTGATTCTAAAGTGGAAGTACGATGGTATCGCGAAACAATGGAAATAAATCCATGCAATAATTCAAGATTTGCAATACATTACAATGGCTCCAAATATTCCTTGACGATTGCAAATATCAGAGAAGATGATTCCGGACGATATGTTTGTGAGGCAAATAATAGAATGGGTAAAGTGTCATCGTTCGCTAGAATCCTCGTTGTTACCGATCCAAGAATTATCGAGGCCGATGCTAAACTTAAAACGAGGTAAATAAATGTATTATCGTGATATAGCAAACAAGTAATAAATTATACAATTCCGTTAAAAGTTTAAGCGTCGAACCAGAAGATAGACCGCCGCAATTTACCATGAGGATACGAGACAGACGAGTGCAAACAACTTATCCGGTAAGGCTTACCTGTCAAGTCATCGGGCATCCCATTCCGGAGGTCACTTGGTATAAAAATGAAACGGAAATCTCTCAAGATGGTAATTTATTTGTTCATCAATTTTATGAATATCCAATATAAAAATTCTTATTTTATTAATTTTCCCTTAAATGTTCTTTTCTTCAGAGCGCCACGTCTTTTGGGATGACGACTCAAATTTTCATACTCTGGAAATAATTCATTCCACTCTTGAAGACTCTGGATGTTATATGGTGACAGCGAGAAATATAAATGGCTCCGTGTCTTGTCGGTGTAACCTCGTGGTAGATAAAGGAATTCGGGCCTATATAGCACCGGAATTTCTTCGTGATCTTAATGCAGTTTACACGATTCCTTCAGGTAGGGAATTACGAATGTCGGCACAACTTGAAGCTTACCCGAGTGTCGGCGTTGTCTGGTGAGCAATGATTATTATTATGATGATATTTGCATTTATGATAACATCATGATCTACATCAATATATCTTTTCTTTTTGTGATTATGTAGGCATCGCGATGGGATTCGGCTACGACCTAGTAGAAGAGCCGTAATGACATTGAGCCACGATGGCACTATCCAATTTTCTCTGGCTAATATCACTGCGCGAGACGCAGGAATTTACAGTTGTACTGCGACAAATGTAGTCGGGCAAACTGAAACATCCACCAGAGTGGCTGTTATAACCACCGATCAAAATAATTCTTCCATTGATGAATCTTCCAACGTTACTAGCACAGATATACCGTGAGTTTGGGACGTCTCGACATATCCTAATACAATACAAATCCTAATACAATACAAATTGTAAATAAAATTCTTTTTTAGATATTCAAAGGAACCTCTTTTTGTAACAAAACCTTTATCCACTGAAGCGATTGAAGGCGACACAGTCATCATTCTCTGTGAAGTAGTTGGAGATCCTAAACCGGAAGTAATATGGTTGCGCGATTTTCTCAAGGTAAGCTATACGAAAATTTCTCTAAAGTTTTCTAACTTATTTCATTTGCGATTTTCTTTGCTTTTTTCCAATCTCTAATGATATGATTGAGTGGCGATATAATATAATAAAATAAACACTGATCTTAAAAGAGATTTCTAATATTTCGGTTAATTAGTCCCATTTAAATTTATGGAAGATGAAGAGAAATGAAAATTGCATAAATAGTGAAATAATGTGTAGTGTTGCTATGCCAAGTGTTGCTATGATCTATATTATGTGGATCAAGGTAAGCTGTAAGAAACGATTACACAGCATAACAGAGCTTATGTAGCTATAAGAGAGGCAAGGCATTACACGCACCAAGGAAAATGACGTTGACATTAAATTGTTTCTTATATAGTAACAGTGCGTCACGTCAAATTATATTTAATACGTGCGCGCGCGCAGACAAGAGAATAAGATTCAATATATGTACGTACATCGCATTCGAGAAAGAGATTCATACTGTTAATTGACGACATATGAATCCAAGATAGGAAACAAAGATGGTGCATTAGCCCGAAGAAACATACGCATTTACGTCACTCTAGAATATCTGTATAATCGTAAATTGTACACAGACAGTATCCCCACTTATCGTCGATCAACTCGGCTTTCTTTGTGATGAATCGGTACTGTAACATATGAGCGACAAGACAGTCCTCGCGTAACTTTGACGAACAAACAGTCGCTTCGACTTTCGATCGCATATACGACGCGATGTATCGTGCTGTGTTTCGTCGTTTTATGTGAAATGTGAATTATTGTTTATTTTGTGTATTTTACTTTTAGTTTATTTTTTTTTTACAAAATGCATATTTAATTTATTTTAACTAAATGTATAATTTTTAACAATTAACAAACGAGTTTTAATTATTTTTAATTATTATATAATATTACAGTATTATTTATTAAGAGAATTAAATTAAACTTGATGTAGAATGCGATTGTGTAAGTATGATATGCATTATAATTTAATGCATTATAATTTATCATTATTTATTCTGAGCTGAAAGAAAAAAACGAAATCAAAGAATTCTACATCATGTTAACTACATTAGGATTTAATAAAATTATCCCAATAAATTGCATATATTATCTCATATAATTGCATATATAAGCATTTTATTAAGCAATTAACGGTATATAACGATAAGTTTGTTGTCTTTCTTTCATTTATGAATTTACGATTGTACATACGAATATAATTATAAATATTAAATAATTAAATAATTAAAATTACAAAATACAAATATTGCAATTAAATAACGTATAAGTTAAATAATTAAATAATGTATAAGTTAAACATATTTTTAAAATGATTTTAAATATAATTTTTATTACAAAATTGTAAGAATTTAATTTAATTCAAACTCTTCTATACCGCGCGCGCGCGCGCGCGCGCACACACACACACACACACACACACACACACACACACACACACACACACACACACACACACACACACACACACACACACACACACACACGACGA